TGTGTCCTTTGAGGGCTCCCTTCTGCATCATGTCAGTGATCACTTTGGCACTTTGGGTTTGTAGCAATGCACAGTGGTTTCCGGTTTAGCTCTGAGCAAGAGCGCTTGGAAGTCTCTTTTTGAGCAGCTGTGAAGGGTGGAGACATGGTGTGAATGTATCCTGACTTGTAAAGAGCAGCTCAGAGAGTTCAGCAGTGTCACTTGGTCTAACTGAAACCTCAGTTTGCCTAAGAAATAGTGTTGAGAGCCTGCTGCAGTGCTTTTCTGCTCTGTCCCCAGGCCCTGTGGCCAGTGAAACCAGAGTGCCACTGGAGTCTGAATCCTCTCCCCAAATTACAAGCCACATAGAACTCAGCAATAAGAGTGAATCTACTTTGGAAAAAGGGGCAGGTGAATCATAAAGTATTCAAGCATATTTTAAGAGATGCAAAAGCTCAGCCAGAACTTAATCTAGCCACCTCTGTAAAGGATAATAAAAAATGCTTTTATAAATATGTTAATAACAAAAGGAGGGTCAGCGAAAAACTTCATTCCTTATTGGATGAACAGGGGTACTTGGTAACAGAGGACAGGGGGAAAAAGGCTGAGGTACTTAACACCTTATTTGCCTCAGTCTTTAACAAAAAGACTAGCTACCCTCAGGACAACTGGGCTCCTAAGTTGGTAGACAAGGATGGGGAGCAGAATCCCCCTCCTGTAATCCAGGAGGAAGTAGTTAGGGACCTGCTATGCCACTTAGATCCCAACAAATCCATGGGTCTGGCCATGGTCCAGCCGATGTGCTGGTGTTAGGTCATAGGCTGGACTTGATGATCTTAAATGTCTTTTCCAGCCTTGGTGATTAGGTGATTCTGTGATTCTGTGAAATCTAGTTTGAAGAGTCCCCACCTTTATTTACCCAGTCATTCTTCACAGTTTAACACATTTTCAGTTATATAGATTAAGCCACACTTGCATTAGCATGTGGATGTATGAGAGGTGAATAAATCCAAAAAGAGTTCAGAGAGCTGAAACCAGCCGACTCCCAGCAAGTGTGTGTATGTCCAGCCCCACAGTGCTCAGAACCTTGCAGTACGTACACCAAGGATGCCCATCCTCATCACCTGAATGCTATATGGTCTTTGTGCATATTGAACATGACCACATCCGGCCACCACCCTTTGATCCTTCAATGTGAGGATGTATTTTTAAGCAAGAAATTAGGAGGATGACCAGTGAGGACAGAGCAGAATCCTCTCAGTATTTCCACCCATACAGCTCTTCCTCCTCTTCCCCTCCATAAGCTGTCCCTGAAGTTAAGCCATCTGCTCAACATGCAGAGCCCAGAAGCCTGTACAGGAAGGACCAGCACAACTCTGCCAATAGATGAGTGTTAGGGGACTGCACAGCCTGGCTTAGTTGAGACCACTGACTTTTGCATGGCACAGACATAAATGAGCCAACAGACAGGTCTCTGAGCACTTCAAATACAGTCTGCAAATAAAATGTGACTCAGTCTTAATTACAGTAGAGTTACCTCCTCACTATAATTTATCATTCACTTATAGTCATGGAGATAAGGTATTTAAGTAATAAGAAGTCTGGTGTGTTGTGAGGCCAGATAACTTAAAAAGCAGGTGCTCTATGAGCTTGTGAAAGACTCGGTGAAATGTCAAATAACTTGATTTGTCTTTTCTGCAACAAATTCAGAACAGTGTTTTGTTCAGGCAGCCTTAGTGAATGACATGTGCCAGCCCAAAGCAAAGGGTTTAAGTTTTTTGTTATTTACAGTGACATGGGGCTCTTCTTCAGGAAAATAAAAACTATGTGAAACAATCCAAATACAAACTTGTACCTGATCATTTCCTCATGCTATTTAGAAGCAGCATATTGAATATAAGTAACAGTGACATAGAGGAGAGACTGGGGAAGCATGGGCTGTCACATATGAGCTCTGGTGACTCATGCCTCTGTAGCTGAAGTGATGAGACATGGATCCAGGTTGTACTTAAATAGCTCTTCCCTGGGAAACAACCTTTGACAGGACCAACAACAAAGAAGGCCAAACCAGTCTAAATTCTGCATTTTGCTAAAACCAACGAAGTGTCAGGATCTCAGCACTGCATCATATAGAAAAAAAATTAAAAATCACCAAAACATGAATTCAGGTAAACAGATAGAAGCCCTTTCCTGCATACTGCAAAATCAGCTCTACAGCATCAGGGAAATGCAAGGTAGAAACATTTAGTTTCCACATTAGGCAAAATATAGAGATGGACAAAGTTCCACAGACTTCAGTTGCTACCTAATCTACTAGATGATTGGGCAAGGGAATAAACTAGATTTGCTTTCAGCTATGGCAGCCAGTCCTGAAAGGAGAACACATTTGAGCCTGGCCACTGAGCACCTTTTAAACTTCATACTGAAATGTATCTCCAAGCCACAGAGATTTGAACGGCTGTACTGCAATACATATTGGCTTTTACATTAAATCCATACAGAAAAGAAGATGCATGAAACATGGAAACAGTGCAGATTTGAATGTCAACACAGTGTATTTAAAGTTCAGACAAAGCCTTAAAAAATTGGGATTTGCATGGCTCAGCAAGTGATTATTGGGAATTAACCAAGAGCTCAACTGTCTCAGAAAGAACTTGCTGGGTGGGTACAATTCTGTAACAAGGAGGTGTAAGGTAGAGTTAAAAATGAATTGTAGCCAAAAGTTCAAACCAAATGACCTCATTGTGTGAGTATGTGGCATTCATAACAGTGCCTGCAGGCTCAATAAACTCCTAATTAAAAAATAACCAGGTGTAAGTATCTTTGGTACCAAGCTACCTCCATGCTGAGGGAAGCATGCTGTAAAGGAGGAAGAAACAAGCAACGAAACCCTCCCAAGAACTGACAGACAGAAACCATACCACTCTCCTTGTTTTGCAGTCACTCTGTGCTGTGGCCTTAGCATTGTGTATGGGATGTAGGCATGGGAAAAAAAGAAAGGACAGAGTCTACACACATTGCACAGTAAGACAGAAGTCAACCCTGTACTGCACAGCTCCTGCTTCCAATCCACAGTTAACATCTCTAAAAACTTTGCATTTTTTTGTATTAGAAGAGAGGTCTGGATGCAGGTGCCCCATCTGGGTAGCCGTGGTTGTTTTGCAATACACAGAGGGCTCCAGGCAGTAGAGGGAGGGGGCTACAGTCCCTCACTGCTGTTGTAACAGCCAAGGAGCTCAGCCCCTGGCCACCATCTCCTTCATCCCACACCCTGCCTGCCCACTACACAGACCCAGAGCTGCCACCAGTGCACACTCTCAATTTTAGAGAACTGAAGCGAGCACTAAAAAGCACTCACAATTAACTTAAATTATTAAGATAAGTTTAAATTGCATGCTAGATAATAACAGAATGTGGTGTTAAAACTAGAACTGCAGTAACTTTTATTCACCCAATTTACACGTTCCTTTAAAAACTAGTGCTTTCTCAGGAGCCAAGGGGAGGGACATGCTGAATTTCTCTTGGGTCATGATCACAGATCACCACTAGATGGTAGATGAGTAGCATTAAATCTACTTCCATTTTATTCCCGAGAATTACAGATGACATTAGGGCTCTGGCCTCCTCTGGCAGTGTGAAAGCATCTCCTTGCATACACTTTTAACTGAGTTTTGGAAGAGGTGGATGGCTATAGCAATTCTGGGGCTTCAGAAGAGGAGCAACCTCAGAGTTCCAACATTTCTACATGTTAGGTTGATTTTTCTAATCTTACTAGAGCTGCAAGCACTACAGTAAACAAACTGCTTTTCTCTGGCAGAAGAACAATATTGGTAAGCTCTGTAACCATTTACAGTTAGTTTGCAAAATCCATGCCAAGCTTTTAAACGTAAGATGCTTTCACAGCCATTCTAAGACTTTACAGAATGAAAGGCTGAAGTTTGTGGAGCTGCAGTAACTGCCTTTGACTGCCTCATACCAAAGGTATAAAATAATTTTAGTCAAACTGAGGTGGCTTAAAAGATAAGTCAGATTTATTTTGTAACTGCTTTATGTGTTCATTCCGATCCAGAGGGATTTTTGCCCCAGTGTGTTTTTCCCAATGGATAGTAAAAACTTCTGCTGCCTCACCATGAGTAGTAGCTCATAACCACGTTTCTCTGTACATTGCCAGGAGGGCTGAGGTGAGCCACACCATCTTAAACGGGAGCAGGATACATATGACTGCTTTTCACTAACACTGTCCAATCACTGCAGCTGCTCCAGTGCCAGCTCACACAGCGCTCCAGGTGAGGGCACAGGGTTGTGACGTTAGTGCCTCAGAGGTGCTGCAGGACATCTACACATCTACTGGGAGTATAAACTCACATGCTAGGTGCAGCAAAATGCTGGTGTCTTCACTAAAACATTAGGAACAACACACCCAGCCCAGCATGTAAAATAGTACTGTTTGAAATTTGCAGGCAAATGAATACCTAAAAGAGCTTATCCTCAGCTTGGCCATCATTGCACAGTGAAAACATCAGATACAACTGAATGCTTAAACCTTAATGCCATACTTTTCACACCACTCTGCTCAAGAAGTACTACCACATCCAGCAAGGCTTTCACAGGCAACGTACTTTAGTGAATCAACAGTACTTTAACAGATACAGAGTCTTCAGAGACCTTTCAGCTTGGAGGGAAATGCAGCCAGACCCTGCTCAGGCTGGTAAAATCTGACAAGACCACATGACAAGGTGGTACATCTGCAGGGTGCAATAAGCTGCCCTTGAAAATATACATGAATAGCTTTGTTGCCAAAACTTTCTTTGACAGTAACGCATAAAGAAAAAATAATTTGACGTTAGCATCCAAAGAGAATATATTAAAGGAAATAATTGTCTGCATATTTTAGCAATAACAAGCTTCAATAGCCATTAGTATTCGGGTTATTTTGCATTGTTTGCATTGTTTTGCATTAATAAAGACAAAACCTGATAGATATATCTACAGCTTCTGAAAGATTTTTCTTTCTTTCTTACCTCTTCCTTTTTCTCTTCAACACCAGGGGCTAAATTGAGGCTCAGCTGAGAGTGGCTGCTTATGCCACTGTCTTCATTTCCATCATCATAGTACACGGTTTGCACCGAATCCTGGAAGCAAACAGGATTCCTGCCCAGCTTCAGCCCTGGTACTTCAGCTCTCTCCTCACTCTCGGATGAGCTCAGTGACAATGTGCTATGATGGTTTGGGCACCGGAAATTCTTATTGCACTTGACCTTCTCTGCAGAGGGACTTTGAGGCTTTGGAGTAGTCGGCCTGACCGGAGGGTTTTCGGCTTCACACGTAAACTGCTGGGTAGCTTTTGGTTCCTCTGAGTCCGAATAAAACACTTCATTGGGAAATGGACTAATGTCATCCAGCACAGGGGTTAAGCTGTCAACATCTGGGATACCTGATGATGTCCTGAGGTTTTTTTCTTCACCAACAGCTACATTCATTTCAGCCTCCTTATCCTGAGCAACAGTAGGGCTTTGCAGACAAGTTGCTCCTGGGAAGGAAGGGTCAGGACTAGACACTGGGGAGGTGCATCTCTTTCTGTCATGATCCGTGCTGCTGGAAACCCTGCGGGAATAGTCATCGTGCAGTCTGCTGTTTGACATTGTTCTCTGGGACTGCTCGCTGGGAGGAGTAGCACTCTTAGGGCCATCCTTCTTCCATGCAACATCAGTAACATTACTGACAATTTTCAAAACTCTGTCAAAATCCTTTGCCCTGATAGGGCTCTTCCATCGCTTGGATCTCCTCTCCTGGTTCCCGCCAGCCTTGTCCAAGTCAGCAGAAGTAACACTCACAGTCCTCGTTGGCATCTGTTTTTCACTTGCAACCTTCAGGTCAGTGAGGTTTGAGGTAGACTTCCGTTTGAATGAGCTTTTTTTCAGGAAGTTCAAATTATCTGAACTTTTGCTTCTCCGATAAATGACCCTGTTGTTTTCAGAGTCTTTCACCAAAATTTCACAGATCTTTGGCTCTGCAATGACAGGTGATGTTGGCCTAGTACAGTTGTGATGACTCTGAGCTTTATCTGTGTCTAGCAAGTTTATGCGGCCAGCACCATAAGCCCGCCTGATGCTGCGTGAGCGGTGAGTATTCCTCAGGAAAGACTCATCACCCTCCTCTGCATCAGAGAAATCAGAAGCCAAACCATCCACTGCATTCTGGAAATCATGGAGAGGCCCTGAATAGGAATACCTGTTAGTCTGAACTCTCACCACTGCCCCGTTTGAACCGCGTTTGCCAACACCATTCTCATTTAAGATGTCAGAGCATTCCCTTGTTTGAATTCCTTGGAGAACTGACGATTTCAATTTCTTGAAAGATCCCATTTTTTTGATGGAAGACAAAGCATTCCACGTGGACGAGTTGCCCATCAAAACCAGAGAACGAGGCCTGTCGGAGCTGGAATTAGCCCGTTTCCGAGGGGTGGTGAAAAAGCGCATCATTTTGGAAGGGCTGAGTTTATCCTCTTGAGTTTCCTCCTCATTACTATTGCTGGTGCTGTATCCCCCATTATGCCTGACACAGGCAGCCTGGTTTTGGGGCTCTTTATTATCCATAACTATACAAGTAACGGTGGTGCCATTTCCACATCCATTGGGAAATGTTGTCATTCTCTCGATGCTGTACGCGTGGAGATGGAGGCCGGGATAGCTCAGAACAGCACTGCTGTCTCTGCCAGCTGACCTCGCTGCCTCTCCTTCATCTGCTGCACCTTGCTTTGTCCTACTTTCACATCGACTGGGTGAGCTGACCTCCTCAGGCTGAACTGCCTGTGTCAGGAAAACAAAAGCAACCGTTAGAGGAATTTCCTTACCAAGTCCCCAGCTAAAGAAGTCTGAGCCCCACACTGTAGGAAATAAAGGCGTGCACAACATTAAGTTATTTTTTGCTGAGCAAAGATGTGTTTGAGTGGTGAGAACACATTCGTAACTCCCTCAAAGTATAACTGCATTCATTAGCAATTTAAGTGACCAGAAGAATTTCAATATGTACTTGCTTCTCTAATGCTTATTAAGCTAATAAATTCAGCATGACTACCACACCTACACTGCAACACTATAATCCAAATACACATGTGGAGAGGGAAACCCCCAACAACAGCAATCCAGTCTTCCTCCTCACCACGCTCAGCACTGGGCTCCAAGACACACGAGAACTCTTCATGCATACAAAAGAGCACATCTATCAAGTGCCAGCTCAAACAGTAGGCAAACAGAAAAAACTTATTTTTTCCTACACCTGCTGCTGTTGGAAGTCTGCATGATGCTGTCTTGCTTGTGCCCTAGCAGGTAAACCACCAAGTGCACAGCCAAGTGCTTTTGCCTAGCCAAGGAAAACAAGATTCAGAAGTTTGTAAAGCCAGAAGCCAGCCTATGTTGTCATGACAGCATGATGAAAACTTGCATTTGGAAGTGACCGCAGCCTCTGTGGCTGGGACTGCTGTACAAGGGATCTCCCCCTGAGCTGAGGGTGGGAAATCCATCAGACCAAACCACACTCTGGTGCCCGGGAAAGCCCTGTGGGCACGGCTGGTCACACCTCCCCTGCCCTAGCCGGGGGTCTTGGCCAGGCAGGCAGGTGCTCTCACCATCCTGCCACAGAGTGCCCAGAGACCACTGGGATGCCCAGTCTGAAGGTGGCACCATCTTAGAAACGAAGGTCACGGCACGGTTCTCTCTTCAAAGGGCAGCAGGATCTTCACGAACGTGCCACTGCCTGGAGGGGGATTCATCCCCCCGCACTGAAACGAGGAAAGAAAACGCTCATCTGTGCTTGAGGGAAAGACGCAGCCCCGGCCCCTTCTTTGTCCGCTTCCCGGTTCAGCGGTGGGGGGCTCCGAGGGCCAGCGGGGATGGGGAGCAGCCCCCGGCAAGCGGAGGGGCCGGGGCAGACACG